GCCATTTTACAATAGTATGTCAAGATCAAGCGTCTTGCAAGTTTTAATCAACCTAAATAATAAAATCGTTTATAAACCCATGAACAACTATTAAAAAACTTTTGAAAAGTATACATTGACGTATTTTATTGGATAATACTTTGGAATCTATTTAAAAATATAATTTAGCAAATTAATAAATAACTAAAAGATGTATATTTGAAAAAAATATAGGTACATAAATAAATAATAAATTCTTATTCGGTTTTTTTGGACTGCTCGGTGTTAATTTTATAAACCGTAACCAATCCGATATCCAAAATAATAATTCGGTTTTGCTGAAAATCGATCCGAAAATCCGAACCAAATAGTCCAATCCAAATTGTCCGATTGGACAATTCGGTTTTATCCGAATAATGAACAACTCTAATGGCCATTTTACAATAATATGTCAAAATCAAGCGTCTTGCAAGTTTTAGTCAACCTAAATAATAAAATCGTATATAAACCCATGAATGGTACTTGCAGTAAAAAAAATACATTGTAGACCATTTACCATAACACCTGCAAGTTACAAAAAGGAGCTTCTACTAAGACATTCAAACATTTGAGAGACCAAAATAAAATTTGAAAATGTAAACCAAACATGTTACTAATAAATTTAAAACAGAACATGATTGTTACCTAAACCAATCAATCTTAGTTGGAATTTTGAGTATTCGGAAGCTTTTCTTTCCATACATATCGAACCTAGCTAGTTCAAGCAACACAAATCGATTTAAGGCTTAAAAAAAAATAAAAAAAAAAACTGGTGGTGTCTTGGTTCAAGATTTTGAACTAAATGAGAGAGAGAGAGAGTCTAGCCAATACATCAACCATAACAAAGCGATTTCCTTTCCCTCCTTTTATCATTGCTCGTTTCTTCTTAAGTTGGTTGTGGTCAAGGCGGTCCATTGATTTTTCATACCTAGGGCGAGATGAAGAAATGATGCCCATATATTTGTATCGAACAATGCACCAAACGTTTATATAACATAAATTTATTAAACATAAGCATAGTAAAAAAAAATTAATTAATTAAATTTCATATTAATACAACATTACATTTATGCCCTTCAAAAGTATATACACTACCAATACATTATACATTTTCACCAATTGAAAATCTACCTCACACTATCTACAATAACAAAGCCTCAAGCATTTCTAACTGAAAAATAAAACAAGATATTAATAACTGATTAAGTAAAGAGGAATAATCAAATTTAAATTTTTAAGGACTATATATATATAGCCGGTAATACTTATATGTTAATCAAGTTCATTAAACAATATATTAGAGAAAGATGGTAGATATACTAATTTAGTTTTGTCTACAATAATGAAACTAAAATAGCCAAAAAAATGAATGGTTTATAGAATTGTAGAAGTAGTTTTGAACTCCAAATATTCAAAAGGTCAAGTACTCAGGTGACATAGGTTTCAAATCACAACTTATTCAAACATATTACTTTAACTATTTTTGACATTGAGAATCTTTGAAACAAAAATACAACACTTAGTACTTAAAACATCAAACTAATCAAATAAAAAACACTCATTGAGAATATTTACCATTTACCAAGAAGGACATGGAATAAAAAATCCTTATAATTTGAACTCTAAGTCTCCAAGAATTTTAGATTTATAATTGCGAAGCCAGCCAAGAACTCAAAGAAACTTGGTATACTGAGAGAGAAAAGCAAACCTGAATGAGAAAGACAAATATAAAGTTAAACACATGAATGGATGAACTCCAAACCTCTCTAAATCAGAAATCAAAACACATAAAAATACCTCCAGTTTTCAAACAAAATTCGAACTTTAGACTTTAGATAAAAGAAAACTCAGATTAATTAGAGAGAAGATCAGTAAGATAAAATACAAATTTAATAGATACCGAGAAATAAGAGTTAAGACTAATCAAATAGAAAAAATACATCTAGAAGCCTGAAGCAAACTTTGAACTCAAATTCTGAAGTCTCGAACTCTTGTCTTCACTCTTCACTTAAAAAGTCAATAGTAGCACTGTAGCAGAACTTAAAAACCGAGATTTATTCGCAGATTGTATTCAGAAATCGATTAAATGAGAGAACATATCAACTATTTAGGAATCGAATGGGTAACAAAACAGATTAAATGGGGGAGGGCATCAACTATCGTCCATGGATCGTATACAGATGGGATTCAGAAATCGCCAAATCGAGACCAAAATTCTGAATTAAAGAGAGAATCAGAGAGATATCGTCTTTTAGTTTTTAGAAATTGAACACTTGGTCTGCTGAAATACCAACTATGATTGGAATGTGGGAGACTGGGGTGTATAGCCGTATTGAAGAATCAGGAAGTTAGAGACAAGAGACAGATGCCGATAGTAAACTCATCGTCTTCTACATTGTGATTATTGCATCTTCGTTTTTCAATGCATCAAATTGGTGCTTTTAGTTTTCGCGCCCTTTCTTTCCTGCCTCGATTGAAGAATCGTCGATGGGATTGATAATCCAACACTCCAATACCAGTTTAAGAGCCGAGTTTACCTATACTATAAGAGATTGGGCTAAAATTATGCCCCTTTTTCCTTGCAGCCCTGGACATTTCCCCAAGCCGCCCATGTATTGGGCCAGCCCTGGTTATGGTTATCGGTGGTTGTTGTAACATCCTAATTTCCAGAGTAAAATTTTTATTTTTAAAATAATATAAACACCCATTTTTAATAAAGTTACATTCAGGTCAAACCATTTGTTCATAAACCATTATTCATAAATCAGATTAATAAAGAAGACAATGCAGAATCTTGAATCATAAAACTGTGATGTGTGTGTACATTCCCACATTCACAATCTGATAAGTACCTGCAAAATATTTAATCTACAACTTTAATCACAAAGTTTAGTAAGTTCCCTAAAATATCACATCCGACACATCATAATAATCAACCATGGGTTATCAGCAACCCTGAACTGTCAGCAGTCCTGAATATCGTGTACAACACAACATTATAAAGAAGTATTGGTTATCAGCAATTATGGGGACTATTAGCAGTCCCAATGGCTAACAGAACGCCATGTGGATTAACAACACACCTCACGGTTTATCAACAACCCTGGAGACTATCAGTAGTCCCCTTGGACCAGGTTATCAGCAACCCTGGGGACTATCAACAGTCCCTTGGACTCACAGCAGTCCATGAGTTATTAGCAACTCAGTTCACATATAACAACAATCAACAAATAAGAACCGTTGGTCAGCATGTATACACTACCACACATGCATATATAGTTATAAGACTCACCTCATAGATAGAAGGTAGACAACACAGCTCTCACATAGTGCAAACTGGTATTTCGAGACACCTAACGACAATAAAGAAGTACCTTCTCAGTCTATACCCTAAAAACCCTTAAATTAACCAAAAGTCAACCATGGTTTAAAGTCAACCCCAATCGACAGCCACGTCGTGACAGCTTCTCGACAAAACAGTCAGGCAACCACTAGTCGTCACGTCATAGCGAGAAGACTGCCACGTCGTAGAAATTGGGTTTTCACAGCCTAATGGGTTAAGCATTTAATCCTTCAAGCCACCCATTAATACTTTCCAGAAGGCTTTCTTACTCCTATTCCAACATAAAAATTACAACTTTTCAGAAATACATGTCCAGTGCAAGTCTATATCTCAAACTAGGTCAAAATGGAGAAATAAGACCAAAATCTCATGCATGAAGCTCAATACACAAACAAACTTCAGATCGAAAAGATATAGAGACCAAGGGACCAAGGTGAGCTATAAAGTTACAAACTTTAACTCATCTAACTAACCAAACTCGAAAAGAACCAAGAAATGCCATAAATTCTAGATCTATGGAGAGAAAACCAAAAGGTGGAAGCTTTATACCTTCCTAAGCTTCACAAGACGTAGGAGATGCAAGATCTAGAGTGATACACTCTTCCAACCCGCAAGTACACCATCTCCTTCTTCAAGGGCTAAAATCATCACAAAGAGCTCACAAGTTCAAAATGAAGACTAGGGTTTCATGGATGGTGAAAGGGAGGTGATGGAGGTTGAGGGTGTGTAAACCCTAGCTCTCACTTCCCTTAAATAGGGGCACGAACCCCGAAATTAGGCTTAAGCCTTCAGGTAGCTGCCACGTCGTGACCATCAGCTTCTCACGTCCTGGTGCATAATATTGATGCATACTAACATAGCTATTGTGACGTCGTGGAAACCCATGTCCCATGTCGTAGCATAGGGTTTTTCCCAAAAACCCCATCTTTGGTCATGTTACATCATTTGTTGATTCATTCTGAAAAACGGATGTTATAGTTATTCTATGGTGGGGTAGGTAGTGGTGGTCGTAGTGAATTGTGGTGATGATGAAATAGTAGTTGTGACAATGATCATTGTGAGCAGGGGAGTGGATGTAGGTGGTGACTTACGGTTTGTTCACATTTAGGGAGCGAAGTCGATCGATAGAGACAAAAAGATTCAAATCATGAAATAGGATTGCGGTTTTCTGGTGTGAAACCCTATCTTTGTTGAATATGGAATTGTATGCCTGTAATCTAGAGCGATTTAATGAAAATATGAAGCCGATCAAATTTTAAAGTTGAAATGTATCAGGATTCCTAAATCTTGCTAAAAAATATAATTCAAACTATTTTGCACAATCGGTAATTAAGGAATGTATGCTGAATTTTTGGGATATGATCTATCATAATTGAGACTTGAAATGAGCAGGAAACAAAGGGTGAACTAAACCCTACCACATGGCAATTTAACAATAGATCGGTGATATCTTGGCCTAGATTCACAATATTTGGAGATCGTGTATAATTTTAAGGTTACTATAAATATCTTAGTTGGGACATACCTTTTTGTTTTTAGTTGAAAAAAAAACTAACAATTTTATCATTCTATCCATATATACTCTTACACAGGGCATATATAAAAGAGATTAGATTAAGTTGAACACACTTTACAGAAATATTTTACAGCACGTATCTAAGAACATGATGACCAAAGAGAATGTATTTATAGTTCGTTACTTTTTAAACAATGCAATTTCGAATATGACGAAAAGCTGGAATAAGGTACGTAGTATAGACCTGAAGAACCAATACAAGATGATCTAACTGGGGCACTTTAACTTAGGAGTCCCCGCAATTGAGATCAAAAGGGGCGGCAATCAGTTGCAAGCTCGTCTTTCTCCCAACGGAAGCACCAAATTTCTCCTTCATATCCAAATCTCTAATATTCATCCCATCAGGGAGTTTCCAGTTGAAATGATAGAGTAAGCTTGCAAGAAGAAGCTCAACATTAGCCACACCAAATAAAATTCCTGGACAGATTCTCCTTCCAGCCCCGAATGGTAGATACTCCATGTTGTTTCCCTTGAAATCATAACAATTCTCTTCGAATCTTTCAGGTAAAAAACACTCGGCATCATGCCAATACTCAGGATCCCTTGCAAGAGCCCATGCGTTAATAATCACTTTCGTCTTCAAGGGTATCACATATCCATCAATCTCGCAACTTTCCCGACATTCTCTAGGAAGCAACAGGGGAAGTGATGGATGTAATCTCATCGTCTCTTTGATCACTAGTTTTAGATACTTCAATTCTTGAATATCTGCTTCACGTACTTCTTTCTTTCCATTTAGCACTGCTCTCACTTCAGTTTGTGCCTTTTTCATGACTCTCGGGTTTCTTAGAAGTTCTGACATGACCCATTCCATAGTTGTTGAAGACGTATCAGTTCCAGCTGAGAAAACATCCTGCATACAAACAAGCCATAATCAGTTACTACAAAGTGTTCAATCAGGAGAAGTTTTGGAGTGAAGACATGAAGTGATTGCTCATGACAACACTAAATGGTGTCCTGTGTACTAACCACTACCAACGCTTTGATATGGTCGGTTGTGAATGGAAACTCAAGCTCGCCACTGTTTTTAAGTCTGAACAGAATATCAAGAAAATCTTCATTATCTGTGCCAGTTTTACATCCATCTGTATGTTCTGAGTTCTGTGGTCAACGAGGATTCTGTTTAGGGTCATATCAAGGTTTCGATGAAGGGTTTTTAACTTGGACCCCATACTGGTAACAGCATGAAGAAACTTATACGAAGGAAACAAATCGGCCATATCAAAACCTCCAGCCAGAACGGACAGTTCTTGTACACTCTCAATCAATAGATCCTGGTCCTTATAGATCCTGCCGAATGCAGCTCTTGATGTTACAGTATTCATGAACGTGAAAAAATGTTTGGAAAGATCTACAGGAGATCCTGCAGATGAAAGAATATGGTTCATCAGAGCACCGACCTCCTCCTCCCGGATTGAGGAAAATGACTGCACTTTCTTGGCAGTGAGGAGCTCGGAGGCGCAAATCTTGCGCATCTGCCTCCAGTGATTGCCATAGGGTGAAAATCCGATGTCTGAGGAGTTGTACAACACGGTCTTCGAGACTAGCAGTTCAGGTCTGCTGGCAAAGGAGAGATCGTGCTTTACGAGTATCTCTTTAGCCATTTGACGAGATGAAACAAACCAACGCAGATATCTCTCCGAGTTGAAGATGCATCAAGGGACCATGTTTTTTGGCCAGATTTCTAAGAACATGATGTGGTAGTTGTGAACTAACCATCGATAACATGTTTCCGATGAAAGGCAGCTTCCATGGACCTGGAGGCAATTTGCTATCCACCTTCCCTGAGCTAGATCTCTTGATTAACTTAAATAGAATGAACAAAAAAAAGGAAGTCGCTATGAGGCTCATCAAGGGAGACATGCTTTGCAATGGTAATGCTTTGCAAATCTTTTAGAAGAACAACCAATATCTGTAGACATATGAGAAGCTGTGCTGGTCATTAGCTGTGACATCAAGGTGCTATTTTATCCCGTAAAATACTAAAAAGTCAAATCTATAATTAATAGGGACAGTTGTAGGGAATATTATTGATCTTGTATCGTTTTTTTTTAGCTTTCTACCCCTCAATCGAAGGATCTTGTCTTTTTGATCGTTGGTCCAATAATACATAGATGAGTGTGGACGTATCTATTTCCTTGACAATTGTCTAACACCACCCATGCACCCCCACAGCGCCGACTGTCAACATCTTTTGCAATGCCACGATATTTCATTTTGCAAGCCTTATAGACTATCTCCTTTCTATATTTGGAAGGCTTGTAAATGATATTTACTATTAAAATAATATTCTCTAATTTAAGACATTTCTACTTAGGTCCATTTTCATAGTTGGAAGAAAGTGCTGAGTGAGAAAAGTCCGTGGATAAAAAATCTGAGTAAGAAACCATGTTGTTTGATTGTACAACTGAATATGCTCACCGATAAAAAATTGACCATTTTACTATGTTGCTCTTATACACTGATGGATGAAGTTGCTGAAGAGTTATTAAACATACAAGTTGTCATACAAAATGTAAATTACACACAAATCATTTAAAAATCCATACAAAATTTATACAAGGAATCATTGTTTTTGTAAAGTTATAAATAGATTCATTGTTTTTCAACAATTCAAGGAATTCATTCATTGACCAAATTCACATTCATCAATCAATGTAAGCAAGTGATGGATGAAATTGAAGAATCCGGAACAGGGGATTCCAAACCAAATATTAGCTGCATAATTCATCCAAACCAATATCAAGAACAAGAACATATCAAGAACAAGAACAGGGGATTTCAAACAAAAGTCACACTTTCAATCTTTAACAAAGACAATTATCTTTTTGGAATTTTAACTTCATTTAGTTGCAAGTCAGAAGCATGACATTATAAAATGATTTGAGTTCAATTTATTCAAAATACTATATTTGTAGTAGGTGTAAACATTCATAGCAATTTAAAAGAATGAGTAATTCAAAGTTGTTTCTCTCCCTTTCCCTTATCTTTTCCTTCATCTGTTTTGTTTTTTCCTTTTTTTCTGGTACCACTAAAAAATGCTCTCCTCAACAGACCCTTGTTGTAACACCCGTGTTCGAGCATGGTTTAGCTTTATATTCTCTAGGTCTAAAGATGAACTTTTTGGGAAAAAACTCTATGCCACGGCGTGGAGCAAGGATGTACACGGCATGGAATGAAATAAATGGCACGTGCATTTTATTGAGCCACCACGGCGTGGCCAAGAGTTGTCACGGTGTGGCAACTGTGTTGTTTCAAGCCCATGATTCTTTTAGGGTTTGCTTAAAATTTAAACCCCTTTAAAGCATTTCTAGGGTTCATTACCAGCCTCCATCACCCTCTCAAGACCCGAAACCCTAACCCTAGCCTCCCTTGTGTGATATTGAGCTTTTTGTGGTGTTTGGTTGCTTTTTGAAGGAAGAAGAAGAAGGTACTACCCCAAAGATCAAGCAACAACTCCTCCCCATCCTTGGAATCACTGTCTGGACCATTTGTAAGTCCTCAAGTTTCCATCTTGATGATTCTTTGGTTGTAGATCTAGCTTTATTAGCTTATTTTGGTCCATAAGTGATGTTTGGTTTGTTAGATGTGATAAAAGTTGCAACTTTACGACTCCCCTGAGTGTCATGAGCAATATATCTTGTAGATGTAGACTTTGGTTGTGATTCTTAGCCTTGCATGAGTTTTTCGTCACCTTTTTGCTCATTTTTGACCTAAAATGGAATCTAGACATACATTGGACATTAATGTCTATAAAGCACCCAAATTTATGCTAGATCTTGTATTAGAAACTTTTCTGGATTTGGTTGGGCTAAGGACTTTGAGGAAAAGTGCTTAATGGTTAAGCCCATGTCATGATTTTGCCTTTATTAGGCCACTGATTAGAGATCTTATCTTAATGCATAAACTTGGAAAGTTTATACATTAAGGCATTAAGAAGGAATAGATATGGTTTTTTGAGCCTTTGATTTTGAGTTTAAAGCAGCTTAACTCGATTAAGTTAATCAGACTGTTCCCCACGGCGTGGTACTAGTCTGCCACAACGTGGCAGGTAGGGACCAGTCGACTATTTTGTCATCTTATGCCCACGGCGTGGCCAAGGAAGGCCACGACGTGGAGGGTTTTCTGATGGCTTGTTAACTTGGATCTGAATCGGGTTTAGACCTATGGGACACAGTGTGGCTAAGGTTGGCCACAACATGGAGGTCAACTGATTTTGACTTTGATTTTGACTTGAGTTGTCTTTTGGCCAACCCTTAGCTTTGGAAGGTAGACCAAGGGTTTACCTTGTATAACTATCTAGGTGTGGGGTTGCACTGGTATTGTTGCCAGTAAGAGTAGCAACAGTTGGTTATCTTCTGAGAGGTGAGTCTCTTCACTGTACTCGTGGGTCAAAGACACTAATGTCGACCCACTGGATTATGTTTTTAGGATGATAGTTGTCTTTATGACACTTGTGTATATGCATGTATGTGCTTGTTATCTTTGTGACTCTTGTTAATATGATTGTATGCTTAGTTGTAGGGGTGAAATAGACTCTATCAGACGCATATCAAACACTCCCTTAATCATCTTATTATTATATTAACATCTCCTATTCTAATAAAAATGTATAATTATAGCCACGTTGCATCTCCTCAGCCCTCCCTAGATTTTTTGTGAAATTCCCAAACTACCCATCTAGCATTTTAAACTCGTATGACATTACACGACCTATTTTACTTGCTCCTTCTTCTGAATCTATCACGTACAATCAATCAACATTTATCAACTTTTAAAAATGAAGCCGATTTAACCAATTCAAGGATTTTATGTCAACTGATAAGGAGGGTCGCAAAATATGAGGACTTTCACAAACTAATACTAAATCACATTTTTGTATACATTATCGTCAAAAAGGAACACATCTCTTATGCAATTGAAGAATCGTCGACAAGGAAAGTACATAAGTTACCATCCACCGCTATCACCACTGCCATAACACCTCGCCATCATATCTCTTCCTCTTTCGATTAACAACAGAAGTAAGTGAAAAACAATATGTTTTTAAAATAGGTTTTGACCAATGACGTTAGGGTAAAGTGAATTTCGTAAAATATAAATCTGTGTATCTCAATTATGGTTCGACCATTTGGTGATTATGATTTTGTTGTTAATTTTATATCAATCCATGAAATCAAACATTTTCTATTGATACTTTATTGTTAAGATTTGTACATTACTAAGTTTCCTTTTATTTCTGTGATAGATTGAACTGGCTTGGTTTATGTGGTTAAAAAACGTGGTCAGGTTATGAATAAATCATAAAAAACTTCCAAATAGAGTTTTGTTCTTGAATTCATCCTTTTGGCAATATTAACTGATCAATCTACAAACATGAATCAAGAATGTAAATGCTTGAATCTAGGGTTTTCTATGTCAAAAGTTAAAACTATGTATTGATTATGAAGACTATTTAAGATCTTGGTTGAGTTTTTTATGATAACAATGTTGTTGTCATAAAGTCAGCAAGATAATTTAGATCCATCATCTTATGAATTTGAAAAGAATACTTAATTATGGTTTTCATAATCTGTTTTGCATTTTATCTTAACCACTAGAAAATAGAAACAAATCATCATTGTCCTCATCGTTCTACTCCCGTTGCCATTGCTGTATGTGCTCAGTTAAATTGTGATAGAGATTGTGATGTGGTTCTCTGTTTTTGTATTTCCAAAACTCTCATGAAGTACGTTAGGTTGCCGACTTGTATTAATGCTTTTGGATGAAGTACATCATTCAGGCTATACATATAAATATACATGCCTTCTTCTTCCATTACCATCTTGTGTAAAATGACACAAGAAATCATTACCTTCGTTAATTTATCTTCATCCCATGATTGTGTTGGATGTTTTATTATGCATCACTTGCTTTTTACGAATGCAAACATCCGTTCAACAACCTTCCTTTCTGATTCATGTGCTAACTTGAAAAAATTTCTTTTCTTATAGTGGGGAAATGAGTATGACTTGAAAAATGTAGCGTGCTATGGATATATCTCATCACCAAGGTAATACCCTAAATAATATTCATGTCCATTCACAACATATGACATGTTTGGAGTTTAACCCCATATAATTTCGTTAAATAACAACAACACCCCAAGCACATTCATGTCATTGATTGACCCCTCCATACAAAATAATGCATGCAAAAACCATAGATCATGTGAAACTACTACTTCTACTATTATAGTCGGCACTCCATGATCACCTCCTCTGAATTGACCTCTCCATGGATTGAGAGAATTTTCCCACTCCCAATGTATATAATCAATGCTACCAAGCATTCTTGGAAAACCGTATGTAGCTTGATGGGAGGTATACAACTATTTGGCATCACTTTTAGTCGATTTCCTCAAATATATGTTATCGTAGAGTTCTACAACATACCCACTAAACAAATATACACATTCTCGACCTGTCATACATTTTCAAATACTAATCATATGCGTCTATGTTGATATCATATGCCAATTGCCGAAGTGCGGTTGTAAACTTTTGGTCGGCTTCTTGACTTAACATTTTCCTTGACGTTTGCATGAACGTGTGAGTCCACATAT